GATGCCACACAGAGTGTTGGGAAGGTGTACGGGTACAACCCACCAAGCACAGAGCGCTGGTTTGCGGTAACTGGAGACAAGGTAGGGCTCCTTCTTCACTATGGGACCTTATGAATAATTTGAAGTGACAATCTGTAGAAATTACATAGGTGTTTTAATCTAACAGGAGATGAGCCGAATGGGTTTGTCTCTGGCCAGTGGTGTGATGTCTGTGGCTGGGAACACAAGGAGAGTTTTGGTGGTGGGTGCACCTACTGCAGGTATGTCCTGAAAACTGGAAGCCATTTCTACCTTAGCATGTTTGTTTCTGTATGACCAGAGGACTAATACGACTTTTAATTTAGAAAAAGGACCTTTAAATTGCCATGTAATTAAAAAAAAAAAGTTAGAAATAATCACTGTAATTACCTGTAAGTGCCTTACATGTAGAGTCTCTCTACTATGCCTCTGTTTCAATGTGGTTTTTTCCATCCTTAAAATTGGTTTAACAGTATTACTACCTTACATTGTTTATGTAGCAGTGATTTGCTAGTAGACTGCATATTTCTTGGAATTAAAATAACACAGTATTTTGTCCTCATTCTGGCAGCAGACAGTAAGGAGTTGGGAAGGTCAAAATGCAGAAATCTATCTTTAACTTGAATGCATTTCTCCCCATGTCCTATGGCTAAGAGATTTTTCCCTGAGCTAATTAGTGTTAATGTCATATAACATTTGATATTATTTGATAAATTATAGTTTGTCCATTTTATGTAATGCCAGTATTACCTGCTCTTAATGTATTGTAGGTATTAAACCTGACTTCCTATGTCAGATGCTCAACTTCTGTTACTTTTTTTTCCAGACAGCCTGTATAGGATTTCATTTATGTCCTCAGTGCTGCATCAAGCTGGACTGGCTCTGGTATATGACCTGACAGACAGCACCAAGCCTTCTTTGCTTAGCACACTGAGTGGGGACAGGAGGTTTTCTCGTTTCGGAGGAGACATATACTTAAGTGATCTGGATAACGATGGACTAGGTAATGCTTGATGAATCTAGATCAGAGCTGAAGTGTTTAACTTTTAGCAAAAGGAGGACCGCTCACCTACATGTTCATACAAGTGCTAAACACAGTCTGCTTCCCCAGTTGACTTGTACTAGTATTCCATCATGCCTTACGGAGAGGCCTCTCTAAAATCCCAAGCAACTCAGTCAGAAATTGAAACATTTTACTTGCCATCATTAATAGGAATTGTGACATCTGGAGGTACGTAAATGCCAGCTCTCTCTCGTGTTTTGGTTTAGCATTCATTTCCTTCTGATGTGTTATGTCATCTTTGTAATACCTGCAGATGAAATGATTGTGACATCCCCACTGAGAACTAATAGCATCTCCTCAATACTGTTTGGTGGGGCAGCTGGCCGTGTTTATATTTACAACGGAAAGCAGGCATCCTCAGGGAATGTGACAGGTCACTGCAGATCATGGATATCTCCCTGTCCTGAGGACTGGGTAAGAATACACGAAAGGTAAAATCAGGACATGAGTACATCCAGTACAAACATGCAGTGCATTCTGACTTGGGTTCACAAAACAAAAGGTTTACTCATGTTTCTGAATCTCTGCAAATTGGCTCCTCCTGTTCATTCTTAACTGACTTTGTCATTTAGGAGCCAGGATTATTGTACTGGTCTTCTATTCCCCTAGCATGGTTCTCTCAATTGAATTTTTATTTTGTCGTTTTTTCTTCTTCAGGCACAGTATGTCCTTATTTCTCCTGAGGTAAGTAAACAGAAAACAAACTACTGAAACTAAAATGTCCTATTTAAAAAAAAAAAACAACAAACTAGCAGCATTATAACAAGCAATGTTATTTACAGGAACTATCAAGATTTGGGAGTTCTGTTATTTCTGTGAAATCTGAAAGCAAGGTGAGAAAAATTACTGTTGTCGGTTGCTTTGTAACATCTTCCTACCTCACTTGCAAGTACTAGCTAACACCTCACATGCATCTTAGTTGTAGAAACCTTAAGTGCTTCTTAAGCATATAACATAGTTAATTAAGTAATTCTCTGAACCAATAATTAAAACCATTTTATAGGTGGATGAGCTATGGAGTTGCCAAAATTTTGGAACATGAATTGAAAGAAATCACTTTTAAATGGCCTGAAATCTAAACTGCTTAGGAGTTTGCTGAAAGGTAGCATGGTAAATGGAGTGTAGGTGCCAGCTGGCTTTACTGTTCATGCCAGCCTGTATGCAAAGTGGATACTCAGCTATGAATGGCACCCTACCATCCCTCTCATTTAGTCTTTACAGGCTTGCTGTACTGGCTGTCTCTAGCAGAAAACACCATTTATGTCAAGTGTTGCCAAGCATAGGAAGGTCCAGTTACCGGAACGATTTTGGATTTGTCTGTGTACCTGCTTCTCTTTGTTTCCCTCAGATGCCCATTATTTTTACCAAACGTCAATCCCTAGGTTTGTATGATGCACTGAGGAACCTTTTTTTCAGCTTGAAGGTTACTTAGTGTTTGTTCAGCTGTTCTCCTTACTCTGACATCACCTCTGTGAGCAATGGGGTTCTCTGTGTGAGTACTGAGGAAGCCTCAGAAGTAGGCAGAGGAGGTACACAACAGGTCTTCAATAAATGGTGTTTAACTAACTTCTTGCTGTTAAAACATGCAATGGAGAAACACCTGGAAATGTAAATTCTTCTCAGCTAGGCTAGGGTGGATAATCCAACACCTGAAACACAGGCATTGCTCAGTGCAAATGAGACCGTTTTTCAAGCTGTTGTGTTCCATTGCTATGGCACCAATCCAGTACCCACTCCAGCTTCATCTGTATTGAGCTTAGCCCTGAGAAACAGTTTATATTTCCAACAGACTTATTTCATTGGTTCCAGCTTGCTCCAGTTCCCCAAATGAAATAAAACCTGTTTGCCAAATTGCTTTGTTAACTGCTATTCTGAGGAGGTGGGTTGCTCTCTTATTTCTCCTCATCACATTTCTGTATGACACTGATGAGATGGACTAAATCTGCTTTCCATTATGGAAGCTTAAGGCAGCCACACACCTGCAGCTGCATTTTGCTAACCCTTGCTCTGTATCTCTGCAGAAAGAAGTTGTAGTGGCAGCAGAGAGAAGTTCTGCGAAAGCTCGACTTGGTGGAAGGCTTTTTGTCTACTCGCTCTGAAAGTTCATGGCAGCCTTTAAGACCAGGGCATAGCTGGTCTTTTAGTGAAGAATCTCTGTAGTATCTATGACACTTTCCTGAACCCACGCAAACCAACAGATCCCATGTCAGCAAGCTTTTGATGAATTCTGTTGTAGGCAGCAACATCACTTAACCTAGAACAAGTCAGCTGGTCTGAAAACCTTTTAGAGGCTGAAATGAGCAGGCAGCTAGATTTTTTGGTAGTAGTATTTGGCTATATAAGGGATGTTCAGTGGTCACCTTCTTTACTGGTCAGATCTGAGTATTTTCTTGGCAAAACCAGGAAATAGCAGCATATTTTACAATTCCTTGTATACTGTGATAAAGACAGTTATGGAAAGTTACCGTCAAAATAACAAGCACGAAGGAGGGGCAGCTTTAATCCTGACAGAAAAGTGTGTGCCAATGAAAAGGACTGTCTCTGTCTCTAGCAAGTATTGATCTCTGCACTGAGGGTGTAGAGCAGCTGGGATCTCATAGGAAGAAAAGAACAAGCAAGTTTTAGGAAATACTTTCTCTTTTGCAATTGTGGCTGACTACTCTGATAAGCTTTGTGTTTTCATGTAAAATTCCATGACCATGGTAACTCAGAATTGTTAACTGCTTTTATTGTTAACAGTATTGTCTTCAACTATTAACACTAGTTTTGTATGTTGCAGGTTTAACAAGAGCATGCATTATCTATTAAACAACTTGAACAGCAAAATGTGATGATACTGTTATTACCAACCCTAGTCCATAGTCACATATGTGTATGTACTTTCTCTCTCTTGCCTCCCTCACAAATGCAAAGCATTATTTTTATTATAAATAACACAAGTTGGTGGAATAGCACAGAATTCTAAAGGTCGTAATCCAAAATGAAACAACCTACCTTTCTTAGGAATTCTTTCTCAGGGATGTTGCTTTAAGCAAATCAAAAAAGGCAAGGTGAACATCAGCTTGATGTATAATGCATTCTGACATCTATTTTGTGGATTTGCCCAAACAGCAAAACACTTCAAAAAAATTAAACTTTGAACTTCATGAAAGAAGTTAATGGATAGGACTGGGAGCTCAGTACTTACCTTATAAATCTGTGAAATGTGGTGTGAGGCAAAACAAGCAGTGCACTTGTAAGGGTGGCAGAATAGAGTTTTCCTTTTTAAATGAAAACTGATGAAACCGGTATGTTCTGTAGCAATTCCATTCTGAACATACACCTTCCACTGGCTTTTGTTTTTCCTGTGTATGATCTCAAAGTAATTTTACTGCATCTGACTGCATTTTGATTACTTGAATTATAAGAAAAACATTAAACATTTGCATATGTCTGTAGAGAGAAAAGGCAGTCTTGTGAAAGACCTGTCTTTCTCTCTGTGCTTTTATTGTGCTTTAAGTCAGTTATGTACAGGAAAAGGAGTCAAAATTTGAGTTCACAGAAACCTCTCTGCACAAAAGCTTATGTGAAAGCTTCTCAAACAGCTGCACCCACATATTTCAGTTCTGGCCTCATGCAACTACAACTTGGTTGAAAACATCAGCACCCATGCCTTTTCACACACTGAGCTGTCAGCCAAAGTATATGAGCCCTTGGTTCTTCTACTGGATTGTTCAGTTTAGAGCGTTTTTACAGCTTCACTTGCTAAGCCAAAAGACTGCAAAAAAATTCAGCTAAAAAACTCAAAAACATTACAAACCCCATTAACTTTCTCACCTTCTTGTGCCTTTTGTATCTGTAGTTGAAAGTCACATACAGAGAAAGAACTGTTTGAAAATAATTACATACAACCGATTTTAATCAAACTAGCATCACAGGCTTGCACAACTTTATGTACCTTTTTATTTTCATCTTTGACTCATTAGTCCCAAGTAAAAATGTTCACAGCTACAGTTATTTTTTTTCCAACTCCTGCCAGTACAGTGACTTATCTGGTGACACCTAAGGAGCTGCTCACTATTACAGCAAGGTTAAAAAAACCTAAACAAGAAATGGGCAGTTTATTACTTCCTTTAAAAGGATTTCATGCTCCCTCTATGGACTGAGAGAAACCAGTGGAGAAATATGCCCTCAGAGAGAAGTGCTAAGAAAAAACACAAACAGTGGGCATAAGGCTTCTATTCCATCCTTCAGTCCATCACAGGATACCAGGCTTCCGCACCCTTTACTAACCTGGCTACTTACTGTGGTGCAGGCTAGTCCATCATTTGTCTTGGAGAGAAGAGAGAGAGCATAGCCCAGTTAGCAGAAACTAACAACCCATCTGTTGATTTTTACCAGAATTTGAATCAGTCCTCGTGACAACAGGAGGAGTTGTTAAACTGCAGCTGTATCAATGCATGGTTGAAATATTATCAGGTGGCAAACACAAGTGGGCATTATCCATAAGTCTGCTTTCCCTGTTCCTAAAACTGCATGTTTTGGGCCTAAATTAATTGTTAGGGAATAACCAAGATATGTAGCTACATTTCAAAGCCTGTTATTGCTCATGTAAAATAAGGGAAACTATTATTTCTGGTTGCTGCCAATTCAGTAGTCATGCTTCCCAAAAGATGCAGGTATGCTTTTTGCTTTGGAAAATCTGTTCTCTGCTATTAAATAGGGCCTTAAAAATCCATTTAAAAATCCACTCTTGGGGTGGATTTTTCTTTGACATTTGAAGTCTGATTCCTTAATCTGCAGCTCAGAACCCAGAATACTTGATGAATGCTGAATGCTGTCATCCTTTAAGCAAAAAATTCTGTTCTCTGTAAGAAGGGCCATTAAGCAAAGAAGTATTTGACAGAAACACATAAAATGAGAATGCCCCAAAAATATGTATGTGATACAGAAAACTAGTGGAACACACATGGAGTGGAGATTAGACTACTGTGTAAAGCATGTTGCTGTTTTCCCTGGTGTTCCTCTCCTTTCGCGTGTAAGAATTAAAAATCTCACTGTACTTTTTTTGGCACAAAATATATTTTAAATTAGTAAGTTTAGAAATTCTTGTAGTTTTCAGTAAGGAAGAACAAGTGCAAGGAAAGTGTCCAAAGTCCACCCTGTAACAACAGAAGTCTCTTAATTCCTTATGTTCCTATTGGTTTGGTAATGTTCTGCTCAGCCCAAATGGTTCTGCTTTAAGGCTGTTCTTTATCTCCACTCTTCCAGCTGATGGTTGGGATTTTTTCAAAACTGCAGAAACCTAAGCAAGAACAAAATAGCCTGTGACTACATGAGAAGCTGCTCTATATGCAGCAGAAGAAAATAAAGCTTCACAGAGGCCCAAACTCTGATTTTTCCCCCCCCTTATTTTCGGAACAGTGTCTCTGGCTTCTCCCTTCCTAACCCCTTCCAGCACATTTCTCCAACCCAAAGTCAGAATGTGCTGGACTTGGTTTTGAACAACACATATGGATAATCCAGTTAATTGCAGCCATAGTCAACAATCCACAACAAACTATTTCCATTTGCCTCTTAGTGGCAAAGGAGGGGAGGTAAGAACGGAAGTTTATCCAAGTCTCCCTTTTTTTGTCAGTTGTAGCAACTCACCTTCTGAATCCATTAATACTTCCACTAATTAGAGTGCACACCAGAGGCAGACAATACAATTCCAGGAGTCCATGAAAGGGTAGTCAACAGGGAAATCAACTCATCCATGCTAATCTAAAGACGGATCTCCTTGGAAATCTTTGTACAGCTTGCTACCATCAGCATCGATGACAAAGACAGCTGGCATGCATGTGAGGAGCTATTACAAACCTCAGACTGAGTCTGGCGTTGCTCTTGAGAGCGATGTTACAGCTAGCACTTGTCCTCATCCTCCTTTAGTCTTTTACATGGCAGGGACTATAGATCCATAATTAGCATGTGGGTGGGAGGACAAGGGCAGCATTTGTTATGTGCCTTCCTGTGAACAGACTGGGGTGGCAGCTGAGAAGGCAAATGAGGGCTGCTTCTACCATGAGCCTCAGCTTTCCTTGGGCTGCCAGGTGAAAGTAAATATAGCATGTCTCAAGGAACAGCCTGCAGCTTCACTTCTGGCCACTGCTGGGGCTTCCCACCTTGTTCAATCCAGCTAGGAGCACTTTCTCTGTCAAAGACCAAGCCCTGAGTTGAATTCATCCAAGCTTTGTGGCCTACTCCTCTAGAACTTATTTCCTCCTTTAGAAACAGACTGTACATGCAGAGTATGAGACAGAAACCCTGGCCAGCCATACATACGTGAGGAGGTAGTGGAGGTTCTAGGTGCCGCCCAAGGAAGGAAAGTAAGCGTCGCCATATCAGACCACTTCCCAGAAACATAATCCCCGTCACCAGCCAAAATATCCTGGGGTCCTACTGACAGAATGGTCCCATTAGTCATGCAACCATCTCTTCACAAAAGGGATGATCCAATGATAATCTCTACTCCCCACCAGTGTTCTCCTCCTTTATAGGAGGAAGCGGTAAACTCCCTACCACCAACAGCCAAGCCTCACCTTGGGAAAACAGCTGTTTAGGAATCACTGTACTGTATTCTGTTACTGTCCCATGCAGTTTTCCTTCCTTCATCAGAAAGTTTGAAAATTCAACTCTTATATTTAATTGATTTGAAAAGGAAGAAGTCTTTGCTTCGTTTGTTTTGTTTTAAAGCTGGCATATGCAGTTTTGAAATTGTAACCCGCAGTTTGTACCCCCTCCTCCCTAATTTAGGTATAAACATGTATTGAGAGTAGAGTATTTCCTCTGGTCTGCTGAAAATGCCCTGGCTGCTTGCCAGATACCCTTGGATCTGGAAGACAAAGCTGGTCTTTTCAGAATAGTTGATCATTAAAGAAACCTTAATACTACTTTATAGTCAATCCTCATACAATCAAAAATTTACCTTCCCATTACTTTTCCATGGATGTGGAAAAAAGGCTACAATACTGTGCAGTTAGCCATGCAGTCATTTGCTTACAAAAAAAAGTGACTTCATGAACACATGAATCACTGGAGCTTTGTCTGTGGAAAGAACGAAGGTGTACCAAATTTAAAATGCACTATAAGAGCAGGGCCCACATTTCATGCTCAAAACAGCACTCGTTCCTTACCTCTTCAAGAGACGACTCCAGGTTCATACCAAATGCAACTCCTATGAGGCCAAAGAGAGAGACGGAGAAAGTCCCCATAGTCAGCTGCAAGTTCAGCCTCATCATCACATTACGGTGGCTAAAGAAGGGAGAAACATCTGTAAGGGGAACCCATAAATTGATCAAATTCTCAAATTCCATACAGCATGCACTAAAATAAAATAGTGAAAGAGAAGTCATGCTGGAATTAGGCAACCCAATGACAAAGATCATGAAACAACAGTACAAAGAGGCTACTGTTTTGACATTGCTACATCAGGATACCTCTAAGGCAGCAGGTTCTACCTAATCATCATTAGACTTGCCAGCATCTCTCACTTCTCAGAGGTGTATATACACAGAGCAACAGTAAATTTCTGCTGAAGTTTGTGTCCTCTCACCACTAAATTTATATGCCCATATTCACAAGAAACAAAAATTTATTGTTAACTTGCAAATTAATACACTTTACAAAAAAGTAGTTGGTAAATGCTGCAGGCTATAAACCTGAGCCTCTTCGGGAGAATTCCATATTCAAATCTCCACAAAAAAGATTTCTGTTGTTTCCTGATACAGCATCCACTAATTGCTTCTACAGATAACTGCTCAGTAAAGAGGAGAAAGAATATTAAACATCAACCTCAAAGACAGAGTCCTCGCAAATGCAAGCTACAATTATTTTTCAATAAGAAATCTGACTAGTAGTGAAAAATGTAGCATACAGAGAGAAAGAAAATACTTGATCACAGGTTATTAATTCTTGTATCACTCCACAGAGTAATAATGCAGCTTTCAATGAACACCTGAGTGGCCTAGCCAGACTCCAGCTAGTAATCTTTTCTGAACAGAATTTTAATATGCCTCTAAATCTGCAGACACTTCCTGTATTGAACAGCTCCCCAGAAGGATCTAAGAGAAGCTGAGTTTCTACTGCTAGGGAAAACTGATGCTTAGTTTGCTTTATCCAGTTCATTGGTAAGAGACGTGCAGCACAGCTGTGACTGCAAGTCCATTCAAATCCTCATGAAGGCAAAATTCTCCAAGTTCCCTTGTAAGCAGATTTGAGAAAGTCTAGGTAGCATTAAATTCTGCTCAGCTTTTGGCAATCCAACAGGTCAGGTACCTAACCTGTCCAGGTTGATAAAGATGATGCTTTCTGAGTCGTCAATCAGTACTCTGAGTTCACGAGCTTCATTTGCAAGATCTTCTGCTTGTCTGTAGTAATTCTCCAACAGTAGCTCCATTTCCTCTGCATGGTCAATCCCAGACATACTCTCCTCACTGTGAGCAACAATTTATATTTTTCTGGTTAGCTACATATTGTATACAAGTGTATTATGGATGTGTTAAGGCACATAAGAGTTGTGGGGAACAAGAGTGCTGTTAGACACTAGACCTCAAAATCCAATCTTTCTGTGAGAAAATTCCATCAATTCCAACAGCATAAAATAAAAGGGATATTTTTTTATTTATCAGCAGCTCAGCATAGGCAGTCAATTATTCTGAGTAGAGCAGATAGCATCTGATATGCATCAAGGCATGCACACTGCCACAAATCTTAGTTTTTCAGATATTACAAAGTTAGAAAGTTATGTAAATTTTATGTTATTTATAAAGTTTATGTTACTATAAATGTTTATGTTATTAAGTTACAAAGTGCTAACAATTTTGACAGGAGATGCTTAACTTCTTGGTGCCCTCAGGTGGTGGGAGCTTGTAACAGTGCAGTCAAAAACTCCAAGAACAGAACATAACCAAGAGTCAATACACAAAGAATTACACAGTGATGGAGATGGTTTAGGTGTGTATTAAAATAGTTTACTTGTAAGGCATTTGAGCTATACACAGCAATTACTGCAAAGCGTTTTGCGAGCATGAAGCAGCCAAAGAGTGACCATCAAATGAAAGATCCTCCTCTCCTGAGAGAAATCTGTCCAAGGGACTTTCATCTTACTTCATAGTGCTACTGCTGCTGCAGCAGCCTTCCTCTGAAACAGGAATGTATGTTTCTGGCATTGTGTAGATGAAACCTGAGGCACCCGAGATCCACAGAAGCTTGGAAATCAGAAGCAAAGCCAGGAAGATTCTTCATAATTTTCTCTTCTGTGGTATGATCTAATTTCTCTAGAGACTGAAGTTTTTTAAGAATATCCTCAAGGCATTACTGACTGTTAAAGGAACCTCTCTGAAATGGTTTTACAAGAAAATAAACAGTATGGCTTACGAATCAACCCACCTAAGCTCCCTGAGGACCTTTAGCAGAGCCCATTGTTTCTCTCTAATGGGGCTAAGCTGATCTGAAAGCCCTCCAGACCTTGAGGTTTTCACTGCATAGAAATGAGAGGAGCTGCAGACTTGAAAGCCTTAGAGCACTATCTGCTGTATTACAGATTCAGCTCAAGGTCTTATTTGATGAGTATCTTTACATTTATATCAGCTCCTCTGATACACAAAGGAGGCAAAAAGCCATAAAGATGCAAAAGTAACTGCCACTGGATGTGCTTTCATTAACTAGCCTCCATCTGCCTCATGAGTTTTCCACAGTCTGCTGTTCCTTCCCAAAAAGATATGAGGTCTGCCTCATCCTATCTTTCTGGGCTCAGCTCACCATTCCTCCTGCAAAAGATCTCTGATGACACCTCTATGGCTAACTGGGCATATGTGCCAACTAACTTCTGCTTGGGCTTCCCAAGTCCATCAAATACCACATATCCTTTGCATCAATCCTGGAACAAAAAAAGCTGTCCACACACTGCCAGCCTGCCTGCAAACATGCTGTCAGGGCTGGTGCTTCCTAGTGTGCCTTGTGTACAGACTGCCTCACTGCATCCTGCAGCACAGCTCCAACACTCCTCACACAACCTCACACCACCTCTCCTACCCTTGTGCAACAGCGTCTGAAAGAAGGGATGACTGCAGGTTTCTCCTGACACAAGAGTATAAGGTGACACTGGGATCTTTCCTAGATATCCCCTACACACTGTCTACCATGAGGCAACAAGAGACTTGCCAGCAGACTGCATTAAGTCCAAAGAAAGGCTGTGAGCAAAACCAGGACAAAGACCAGCTGCTGGCTCAGGAGCAGCTGGAATTCAGAACGCCCACAACACTGCTCCAGCAGATGCATTAGAAATGCAAACCATGTCCCACTTCTGGAATTCTGAGTTTCTGCTGCACATTTAGACTAAGCTCTACAGGGCAAGAAACTCTCTCCTGATTTCAAAGCCATGGTAATGTGTGAACAGTATTAACACCCACATGCAATGAAGTTAGGCAAAAATATTATTCAGCAATTTCACAAAGGACCGGAAAGGTAGTTTCTGTTACCTGCTTAAACATAAAACATGTCTGTATGCCCCAGATTTAAATCCAATTAAGCCCCAAATATATTTGGATCTGATGTATATCTTTCTGCTTTTTAGTTCTTAATAAGTGACTAGTGCTGCTGCTGCTGGTGTATGCCATCTTTCACCAAAACCTGAGAGTGTAGGGTCTCTTTCCTTCAGGTTCTGCTGGTGAGCAAAAAGCTACAAGCAAGGTGTTCAGAACACTTTTAGTAAAGGAAGTGTGATGTCTGATGTATTCAAGACAAGCTTTCAGAGCCCCTTTCATTTTTCTTTTGGTGAAACTGAGGAAATGCTCACAGAAAGTGTTGATTCATATTGAAAAATAACAACATTTGCTTTTTCTGCCATCCTGCTCCCATACCAATACATACCTGATGAGCTGGCCTGTTATGCCAAGAACTATTTGAAACTGCATAATACGACAAGTAATAGTGAAGTTCCTCTCCAAAATGTCAAATACAATGATTTCTGAAGTAGCAAGTATTGGGGCTTTAAAAAACTAGAGCATCTTTTTCTTCTTTTTAGCAGGGAACACACAGTTTAGTGTTCAAGTTACCCTTAAACAAAATTCACCATTAAAAAAGTGGTTTCAAAATATACATACAATACTTGTGGATCAGTCCATTTAGATAGACAGAGCTCTTCTATTAATTCTTCTTCATCTAAGATCTCCAGAATTGTTTCTTTGAAAACTTTAAGATCTGTTTCCAGTTCTGACAAGCTGAAGAAAGAACAGGCAAAAGGTCAAGTAATCCCCACCTGCACCAGTGCACGAAGGTAATCCCTAAGTGAGTTTGCCAGCCAGCACCCTCACCAGATGCAGTGGCCAGGGAAGACTTTCCTGCAGGGTTCTAAAAGCTCCTTCAAAAGATTCTCTACAGACCATACACTTAGCAGTGCAAGTGATCTGTCTGGGGATCAGTGAGGTGCAGACATACACTAAAAGGGATCCAGATGTGTTTTCTGGGTATATTTGTAAGTCAGAAAAAACAAGCACTCTGTGAGCATGTAGCAAGTGCATATTTGCACTGTCTTTTTAGAGAGGCTAATACATGAAGGACCAGTGTACTAGTAATCTTAAAGCATACTATACATACAATAGTTAAAAAGCATAGTTGCAAACGTTTACGTTATGGGGAATGTTTTCACGTTATTTTGTTCTCTTAGGCATTACTTTGTTCTGTCAGATGCTATTTGAGAAGCACAGCTGTACTTCTGACAACTCAGAATATATTTCCCGTTTCCCTTATATCAACAGGTATTTCATATGAAAATTCTTACACTTACAAACAAGATGCACAACCCAGCATTACAGTAACCTGGGAAATTATTATGAGATATCATTTTTCTAACATTTCAATGCATGTCATTTTCTATTGTCATCTTCTAGACTCTTCACAGCTTAATCTTATTTACCTCTTGCCATTCTGCAGGAGAATGTGTAGTTTACTCCTATCCACAGATAAAAGCTTGGGGTCCACTAGAGCTTCCAGTGTCTCAAGGATCTGAGGCTGCAAAGTGTTAAGTCTCCCCTGCAGTTTGCTGATCTAGATAACAACATGATCCTTCATAAGAATTAAAACAATTCATTTAGAATGACTTGGGCAACTGACTCCTGTCTCTCAACACAGAATTTACAGTAAAAGGTAGTTAATACAACCTGCTTTCCAATACCTGGGAAATACTTGCTATATGGATACCACTTTATAAGACAAAGCCAGTGTAAAATACAGTATTTAATAAAAAGTGAACTGCAACCCAGTGACAACCACACCAATAAAGCTGATAAAGCTAATACACTATTGTCTAGAAATGTCATATTAGCATTAGCAAGCACAGATTTTTCATGATAGCTAGGAATCATCATCTGACTCGTGCTCAAGAGGCCAAAAACCTCAGCACTTTTGTGTGACTTCCATTTCAGCTACAGCACGTCTCTAGAATGGAACTCTGACTTGTTTTTTAATTGTCCAAATCATGGTGAAGCCATCATATCCAATTAGCACTTTACTGTGAAGGGAATGAAAACACACATACACACAAAACCGTAAGAACTAAAGCAACAAAAGTCAAAACCAAAAAAGAGCTCCTACGGGAAGTGCAGAATACATATACAAATGTGTATGTGTAAATATTAACCCAAGAATAAAATCATACTGTCCCTTCTATGAAACTATAACTTCCGAAACAATTTAAATAAAAATGAGATAGCTCACCCAGTACTGCAGGATTGCTTCTATGGCTCGGAATTCAAAGGGCAGAGAATATGTAACTAGTTGACCTTCCCCAGCCAGCTGAGATGCTAGTTGACTGAGGAGCCAGTGTTCCAGACTCAAATTACGATAATCTAGTATCAGCAGAAACTCTGGTGTTATGACAGCCTTCAAGAACTGAAAAAGAAAGCACATGTAAGGAATCTGAAAAAAACACTCTGAAAATTTCTCATAACTCTGTAGCACATTTTATATTTGGGCTTTGATAAAACCATTCTTCTGATGTCTTTTCAGGCACAAAAATAACAGAATCTCATGCTAACAGCAAATGGGCTCAGACAGAGCATTGTGCCAGTGATTAAGAAGGGCTCCTCATAAGCCTTTACTTCTGTGACAATGTTAGTGATGATTCTCCTGTGCTCAACCAGGAAAGTGGTCATTAACATGTACTGTGGGTAAACTCGTACTCTTGACTGCAACACAGAGCTCCAAAGACACATTTACTGCTCGACTGCATGTCACAGGAAGCTGGTATTAAAAGAACTGTGCAAGAAAATGAAAATCTAAGACAGGGTTTACACTCAGCTAGAGGGAAACCATTACCTCCATTCTCATGATGATTCTGTTGTTCCTAGTTGCAATGCTCATTACGTGCTGAAATCTTAGGTCTCGTGCTTGAAGACCCAATTCCTGGTACAATTCTGTCTTCTTCTTTTCTATCATAAAAGTATTTTTAGAAGAAGACATTTAGAGGACAAGCATATATGTTCTGAAATTATATTTTAGTGTGTTACTAAGTCCCACCAAAAACAAACAAACAAAGCTGTGCTATCTCTAAAACATTCCTTCCATTGACTCCTCAACCTAAGTTATTTTCTACAAAGTTTAGAAGTCTGCATCTTGAGTGGAAAAAGAAAAATTCTAGATATAAGTGAAAACGTTGGCTGCAACAATTAATTTCATGACAGAAATTAGTGACTCTTTTGAGAAAGCACGTGTAATTCTACAGGAAGGAAAATATAAGGCCAAGAAAGTAGCATGCTAGTCAAAAAGGGAAAAGACAAAGCAAAAATTACCTTCCTGTGAGAGATGGTAATACATTATTTTTAAAATATTATTTAAAAGTACACAAAAATTTTAACAGTAAAGATGCTATGAAGACCCAATAGGAGGCAGCAAAACAGAGGAAATGTTGCAACATCCCAAATGAACACAGTGAAGTATCCAAAACATAATTTTTTACTCCATGTAGATTCCCAAGTGGGCTTTTCTGTATTGGACAAGGAAAAAAGGCAAACAAAACTCAAGCAAAACTACAATGAAAACTTACCAAAATAGGTAGTATTTCCCTCTTTGTCAAACTTCATCTGAAGGAATGAAAAAAAAAATATTTTTTTCACAGACTCACTATAAACAAGAAATCGATTTCTAAAGTTATTTGCACTTCCCTAGAAGGCCAATGGATAACACATTATTAAGAGAAAGCAACTTTTTATGCCCTCTATTCACAGTTCATCCCAATTAAGCAAAATATTGCACCAAATGGCCATATATTTCACTGTGTTTGTCACCAGTGTCACCTGCATTACCATGTTCCTACATAAACCTTGTTAAGGAGGTGATTTACAGAGGATCAGTCTTAGAATAGCATAGACTTTCTGCTGGAAGAGACCTACAGCAATCACAGAGTTCAACTACCTGACCACTTCAGGGTTGACCAAAAGTGAAAGCATGGTATAAAGGGGCAAACAGCTTTCAGTTTTATTTAAAAAAAAAACAGAGAGAGAGCTTGTTTTTCATCAAATCCTACGTTTAGTTAGAATTGCAGCTATCAAGACACAGGACTAATATTTCTAAAAGGCATTAGCAAGCCTTAACAATCTTTAACAAGACAACTTCTGATTGCAGCAGTTCCAAGAGCTGACCTGCCTTCACAATTAAGAACCGGATGCTGGATCTTAGAAAAGCATCTTGATTGATACTGTGAGTACCTCAAACCAGCAATTTAGAACTCGGGGTGTTCTCCGAGACACAACTTCATCTGCTTTTATGACGCTTTAAGAGTTAAAAAGAAAAAAGGAAAAAAAAAAAAGAAGAAAAAAAGAAGAAAAAAAGAAGGAAGGGAAAGAGCACCATCATCTTGTAATCTTGCACAAAGTGTCCTCGCAGGTGGAAATGCCTGCAGGAAGTACTTACCACTGCAAAAACAGGAGATACGCTGGCTAGGGTGGCCTGGGAGGTCTCTGTGGGGGTATGCTGGCATAGTTTACCTGGAGGAAGACAAGACAGCTCTACCCCCAGCACAGCGCACTTCCCCTTCGCGGCGCGGTGCCCTGCCCTCAGCCGCCGGCACCGCGCACGGGCACACGAGTCGAGCAGCGCCGGCCACGATAAGGCCCCGACGAACCCGACATATCCTCCCGCAGCGGGCGGGCATGGCCCGGCACCGCACCCAGCGCGGCCAATCCCGCTCTGCCTCCCCAGTGCCCGACCCGACCCACTGCCCGCTCACCGGCCAGCGCAGCCCGCGGGCGCCCGGCGGCACCGCCGCCACCGCCGCGGGCCGGTCCCGTCCCAGGCGCGGCCCGCGGCAGCCGGGGCGGCCCGCGGAGGGACCCGCCGCCCGCCGCGGCCCGCCAGCGCGGGCCGCAGCAGCAGCCGCGCCCAGGGCGCGGGCAGCAGCGCGGCCCCCCGCAGCATCGGCCCCGCTCCGCTCCGCTCCCAGCGCGCAGCGCGGCGAGGGCGGAGCCCGCAGGGTGACGGGTCAGCGCTGCGCCCGGGAGGAGCGGGCCGGAGCCGGGATCGCCGGCTGGGGGCGGAGCCGGTGACGGGCGCCGAGCACCACCGACCCGCTGCGCTGCTGCATTCACCTAAAGTATCCTGTTCCGCCTGTTGGCGCGCTGGAAGTTCATAGCCGTTGTTTAATGTGTGCACAAAACCATGATCTGTGAAATCTGTGAAACCACCTCCTCACTCAGCCTGTGCTCAACTCCACTGGAATTAACTGGATTTTGTACATGATGATTTGTGAAAAAAGGGGGGGGGGTAAGTCCAAGAACCCCGTGAAGCTCGCCTGAGCTCCTCTAATAAGGCAGGTCCAAACTGAAGATTCAGTTAAATGGATAACTCCTTTCCAAGACATAAGGGTCCTTAAAATCCCACCTCCAGCAGCCCTCGATAACGCGAGCACACCTCGCTGTACCCGGGATTTTCCTTCCCGCGGCTGGGATTTTCCCTGCCGCATTCAGCCACTTCCTGAAGATTTTACTCGTAAAATGCGGTGGGTTTTTTTTCCAAATGCAGAACATTTTCTTTTTCAAGTGCAGAACAATTCTGTCCCCAGCAACGGTCTTGCAATTAAATTTCTTTGCCCTGCTTCTGTATCTAAAATAGAGACAAGCTAGTTGGTTGAGATCTAAAAGTTTAATTAGTAGCATACTAATAGCTTCCGCTGTTATATGTTCCTTTTAAACTGCAGCAAAAGGGTAATGCAGGTAGCAGGAATATCCTTCCTTTGGCTGGTTCTGCTGAACCGTGTAAATTGACATGGAGGCAAAGCCTGTATCCAAAGCCCTGCAGCGGGACACGTTATCAGAATGTACTTACAGCACTCATTAATCCTTAGCAGGGAAATAAAAAAGGAAGTGATTACGCTGCTAATGAAATGATCCGTACAGTGTGACTGCTCCAAGAGGAGGGTGCAAGTCTAAACGCTGCCTGCAACACAGGTCAGAGTTTTGAAGACAAGGGTGTCAGGGCCAAATACTGTTCTCAGCTGGGCTGTAAGTTAAAGTTAAGTCAACCAAGGGCCAGCACTGTCCTCTCTGTTCCTGTACTACATCACCTGTGCATTTGTCTTATTGTTTGCGCATACATACCTTAACATACATAGATGAGCCTTTGTCCAAAGTGGACTGACATGTACAGAATCAGAAGGGTGGTTTACGCACACCTTGCACAAAGATGAATGACCTCACAAGGAATTAATTAAATAAAGAAGTTCTTCAGTAGTTATACATATCCTGTATGTGTTGACTGAAGCCATCAGAAGTTTTCAGTTTCAGGGTAACCATGCCTGTCTGCAAATGTTGGCTGAAAAGGCTGAAATCCACTTAGAGTATTCTAGCTCTAGTTTTGGTTAATCTCAGCAGGTGGCAGTATGTGCAACACTAATGTAAGACCCTTGGATGTCAGAGATACTTAAAATTTGGAAATACCAGATAGCACAGAAAATACCTCAGGAGGGCAGGAAACCAATGCATACCATTGCTGGCAACTCATTGCAGCCTATGTTGGTTCTTCATGTTAGAATGCAAAAGCTAGAGAAGCATCTGAAGGATATCTGCCAGAAATTTACATTTAATGAATGTGCAAGAATGTGCTCACACAGCTGACATGTCATACCCCTCAATAAAAAAGGGAGAAGCTACTGGATCTATTTGTTTTCCTTTGCTCATCTGTTGTTCTGGCTTGCTAAGTGTTGGAAATAAGATGATGTAACTTCACACCAAATATATATTGATACAAACTCTGGTATGTATGATACAATAGGCCAGTGTACCAGGAGGCATTGGTGTTGTATCTCATTATAGCTGCATTATCAGTCACTATTGCAATGATCTGGAAGGGCAGACAATAACCAAGTATCACCTCTGTCTTCAGAGGTGAAGGCAGCACATGGTGTGAACTGGCAGCCAGGGACAAGTTATGAAGCACAGACAGAATGTCTGATTTTATACTACTGCTGACAAAAGATAACTGGAGATCTAGAACTGCCATCTAGTTATTGCAGCTCTAAATACCAACAAGCAGCTTGTTGCTTCTGCTGTAGGCACATGTCAGGTATCCAGTCTGTCCTGCAGTGCCAACCTTTGGGAGTGGTTTGCTGTATTTCGTAAAAAAAAAAAAACAAAAACAAAACAAAACAACAAAAAAACCCCAACAAACCAAAAAAAACTGGGTCAAGCTCATGTACTCTTTGTTGAAGAAGCTCACTGACACAAACTGGCATGATGGCTGTTCTTTATTTAGCCAAAATGCAAGGACAGCTCCAGCACAGATGGGCTTAGTCATGGAACTGCCATCCAAAACACATCCCCCAACATGTGCTTGTTATGTGACCTCAGGGGATCCCGACACACGACCTGACAGACGTGGTGTCATGCACCAACCTCATGTAAGATGAGAGGCCTGACATCACTCCATCATAAAGAGATCATGTGTCTCTGCATTCAGCAGCTCTCCTTACTGTTGAGAATGTGATAGGAGATTGCTTAGAAACTGAAACAATATAGCAGGAATAAAAGGTCAGACCCTGGAAAGGCTAGGATAAGCAGATTGTCATGGATCAAGGCACTGCTATCATGGGCTGAAGTATCTGACCTTTTCTTAGCTTTCGGGCAGTGGGTGTACTTAGGTGAGATGGAAAACATGCTGACTTTGTACTGTATTGGAAACACTCTGTTTTGATTTGGTTTGTTCCTATTACTGAAGAAAATAATATGTTTCATTCTGAAAAGCCTGGTGTGAAATAGTGGGCACTGTCCAGCAGTGGGCTGGACAGTCACGTGTCCTTTCAGGGGCTGGATCTGAAGGTGTTGCCTTAAGGGTAAGAAAATGATGAGATTCCACTGCAGCACGAGTAAAGGGGTAGAGAGCAGAAATGCAAGCAGCTGGATTTGAAAGATGAGGTCTTTGGAGGTACAGCTCTTAACTATGTAAAAGTTAAACTATGGGCAAAATTCTGCATTGCAGTTTTTCAAGGGATTCATAATATTCCCCCAGTTTTAGACGAAGATTTTGTCCACCAGTTCTAGGCTGTTTTAAGGCTAGCAGTGCTCTGGTACCACTTCAGGGATATTTTATTGGAATCCATAAAGTGACTGTAACTAGTGTGGCCATAGGTAAAGACCAACAGTATTTTGGAGTAGCACAAGTGTGGGTGCACGAGCAAAATATTCAGTGTCTTACACTTATGTCAAAAATGTTGAGTGATTGCAAATTAGGCCTAAGATCACCAAATGTGGTAGAATCTGGCACAAAATAGCAGATAGTTGACATATCACTGCTTCAATGCAGTATGAAGGTCATGAGCATTTTTCTTTTTTACACGGAAGCATATATTTAATAACAAAAATTTAATTTCAGGTAGCAATAGATCAATGTTAAACAGTATTAATTCGAGGATAGTAAATGTTTGGTTCTTCCCTTTATCAGTTAGAAGGAAATCAGCAGCAAGCAGAGAAATTTCACTGTTAACCAATAATAGTAGCATATTTGACTTCCCTCACCCTGAAATTGCTCTTTTTGTAATGGTTAACTGCTCTGTTGTAACTCACAGCAGGGGGGGTAATTTTCCCATTAAAGGAGGCAAGATAAAAGGAAAGAAAATTCCTTCCATCACACGTGTTAGAACCCATTTGGAAGAACAATCATTACAGTACACTAAACAATTCCAGGTAGGAAGGTCTAGTCCGGTTTTAGAACTTCGGACTATCATCGGAGGAAAGAGGTTGTTAAAGCAATTATGTTTGAATGTAAGGCATTTTCTGTTTTAGTTTCTCTCAGGTTTTACGGCTTCTTGCACCCACGGTGCGCCAAAATCCAGTGGAAGCGGTGGGCCGGCTCGGCGTTTCCCCGCTGCCGCCGGTTCCCCGCTCAGGGCGGCTCGGCCGCCGGCCCTTCCCTTGTAGGGGACGGGCGGCGGTCGGGGAGAAGGAGGCAGAGCCGGTATTGCCCTCCCTCCCTCGATCTCGTGGTCCCGTTCCCTCTGCCCCCGTCGCACCGCGCCCCTCTCTGCCCGTCTCTGGGCACGCCGCCCCCTCGCCCTTTTTCCCCCGGTGGCCCCGGGTCACACGCGGGATAAAGTTTCCCGTGGAAACTAGAGTGGTAGCGCTTTCCGTGACGGCAGCACCGGAGGATAAAGACCCTGGGAGGCCGCGGGTCCCCGGCAGTCCGTGTACCTGCTGCGCCGGGTGGGTTTCCACGCCGTGTTTTCCGCCTGGGTTGGTGTTCTCCGCGTTCACCTCCTCAGGCGCCCCGAGCAGCGAGCGCTGGTTGCCTGGGAGGAGCCGCTTTGGCAGGCTGAGCAGAGCTGTGCCCGGGCCCCGGGGGTGCTGTGAGCCCTCCTCTGCTTCCCGGGAGGTGTGCCCATGTGCCTGGGCCCCGGCTGGGAGTTGTCAGGGCGAGGGGGGCGCCCGGGCAGGAACCCTCACCTGAACAAACAGGTGCAGGCAGCTCGTCCGTGTGGCTTGGGCTGCGCAGGAGATCTGAAGCCACCGAGCATGACTAGTCCCGGCACAAAGGGCTCCTGGCTCTCGCAGCCGACGGTGAAGAGCGTGCTGGTGTATCGCAACGGGGACCCTTTCTTCCCGGGGCGCCGTATTGTCATCCACGAGAAGAAAGTGTCCAACTTTGATGTATTCCTGAAAGAGGTGACAGGCGGGGTGAAGGCACCCTTTGGAGCTGTGCGGAACATCTATACCCCCCGGGGTGGGCATCGTGTCCGGCAGCTGGAGGAGCTCCAGAGTGGAGAGCAGTATGTGGCTGGTGGCAGGGAAGCCTTCAAGAAACTCAAGTAAGTGACTAAAAAGTAACGTAACATTTATACGGAACTTGAATATCAGCATTTGGGGCTTGGCACCGTGGCAATACTTCAGAGGACCCCCCATCACACCCCTTTTATTAGGCATTGCAGAAAGAGAACATGAAGGCTATGACCCAAGGCAAAAGGAAAAGAGCTTTAGAGGTGAGCCACAGAAAGGCTGCTGATACCATCAGTCGCATATGCCATCTCCTTGACATGACAGTACAAAAGGAGAAACAGCTCTTCAACCTGCAGGACATGCAGCAATCGCACGTTGTTGTGATGCCTGTGCTTAACTGAAGGGCTGAGTATCAGTATTTGTGCTCAGGAGTAACAGGGGGAAAGCTGTAAAAAGGTGGAGTGTTGACAGTCCTGCCACGAAGTTGATGAGCCTGGGAATCTAATTCCCCATGGTTCCTTTCTAGTTTATTTTTTTAAAAGTGTAAAGTATTCTACCCAGTTATCCACCTCTCCATCACTTCTGTTCATTTTGCATAGGCATGTAGCTTTTTTTGACCAGAACAGCTGAGTCCCTCCTGCTATTTAAAAGATGACCACTTGCTTTCTTTTTCCTACCTGGACACCAAGAATTAAGCTGACAGTTTCTCTGTTTTTAGTGAGTCACTGGAAGAATAATGTGGAGGAGGTCTGGGCTTTTAGGTGTTCTCTGCAAGGGGCTCTGCATGTGAACAGTAATGGTTCTTAATTCTGGCAGTGAATTTTACGGTCTCAACTGCATATTATATGTTGTCTTCAGTCTTTGTGGGCATTTTTCCTGCAGTTGAATTAAAAAATATAAATCTCAAAATTAACAATTCCTTTCTGGAGGTGGTTGAGAATTTATATGCTAAACTATCAGCTTTACAGGGTCTTCCTCATCTTGGTTCTGTAGAGTTGCAGACACTGCATTTTTCAGGAAAGCTCATTATGAGCTCATGTTTCATGACAACACTCTCTGTGTAATTAACAGGATCTCTATCAGCACCCTTACCATTTCTGTCACTAGCTGCTTCTGAAGATTTATTGAAGGTTCCTGTGAATCAGTGGCAAAGCTAGAGAGAAAGATGTATGACTACATCTGTAAGGCTAAATGTAAGTCCCTTTCCCACAGTACTCTCTTCTGTGTCAAATGCAGCGCTCAACTCTCAAGAAAGATCTACTGTATCTTTTTGGTATTAAATCCCGTGAGTCTGTGGATGGCTTAAAGTTGTTAGTTGTCAGCACATCATGTTACGCTTCCCTAAACGTGTTTTGTATTTGACAGGCTAAAAGTAACTGAGTGTCTGGCATTAGGATGCACTCTTTAGAGAATTTAACACTCTGGATGGTTTTTTGGGTGGGAAAAAGCATTTCTTTTCATCAGTTCACACTTTATGGTCAGAGTTTTATGGGGAAAGACCTTTCCAGGCTGTTATGGTTGCAACATGCAACAAGGTACCTAATTTTTAAGGCAAACAAAGAGAATACTTTAAGAAAAACTAACCTAAAGGACTTGGTAAAAGCAGCTGTTTTATATAACCCTTGATAAAATGTCATAGTCCCGTGATGTATGGAGGAAAAGTGAGTTGACTTCAAATCTTTTCCATTTCTGCATTCAGAGTTGGAGTTCTTCATTATTAGTATTTGTTTATATTATGCTGGGACAATTTTTTGAAAGGAATTGAAGAAATCAAAGGAAAGAGTGTACACTTATTTAATGTGACACAGGCAAACATAAAGCAGTTGCAGCTATGAGAGACCAAGCTTCTGCCCTGAAGGATCTGAGTTGGTCTGATGGCAGCGAGAAGTTGGAATAATTTTACTTACTTTTTTTTTTTTCCCCAGTGAGGCTTATTGGACATATTCATTGCTATGATAGACTATGCAGGGCTGGACTTTGAAATGGAGGTTAGTGGCACTGATGTGTGGGAGCTGTGGGAGTGTAAGGGAGAGAGTATCCAAGAAGAAGCAGAAGTTGAAAGTGTCATTGTTCCTCTTCGAGCAGTGCATTTGTTTCTTCTCAGGTGCCTTACACTGAGAACTGAATCTTTTTCTTTCCTGTTTGCAGTGAATTCTAGACTAAACTACACTTACTTTTAGCGTGTGAGCCCCTTATCATTTCAAGCCCTGAATCTTAGCATCTTGGGATAGATAGCTCTGAGGATATATATTCTACATAACTGCTGATATGTTTAATTTTTTAAATAAATATAAAACAATCAGCATGTAGAAATTCTGCGTTTAGAAAAAATACATAGACATTTTCTTTAAAGGTGGAATTATTACTCAATGTTGGGATGTTTTGTAGCATATAACAAGTTTTGCAGCTTGTTTTGTCATTTACAGATGTGCCAAGTGAACACACGCTTTTTGATCTATATGTGGTGAGGTGTATTGGTGTATTGTAGTTGTTGTGATGATGAGTAATAATGCATATATATACCTGCACCCCTCTGAGTTCATCCCCAGCTCTGAGCTTCCTGAAAGAAAGCTGCCTATGCTGAAGCGGATTTCGATTTTTAGCTTTTTTTCAGCATACTACTTTACCTTCCTCCTTCCTTTGCCCATTTACTTGTATTTGTGCTCATTAATTAATGGTAGGTTGTCCTGTCTCCAGCAGTGTCGCTTTAAACAACACTAGTCTCATCACTGGCTTGACTAGTCATCGAGTGGAAGTATTTCTGGTTTCTTAGCAAGGAGAATATTTTTGTAAAGTTTTTGGTCTGTGATTTTTTTGAGTGCTATCATCCAAAACTTTTCAGATTTGCAGATCCCTGAAATGCCTGGACCTCTGCATAGTGAATTTAAGCCTTTGACTGTGTATTTACTTTTCTTTGTCACTTTTATTAGTTCTTCTCAAAGTAATTTACAGATGCCCATAAAACAAATCAGTAGCTGTTCTTATAGGCTGTTGGAACCATTTTGCCTGAGGCATTTATTTCTTTTCAGTCTTGCAGGCTGCAAGACCTCTTGGTTTTGGTCTCAAGAGAATTTGTTCCTTTTTACACTGGGAAGCTTGGAAGAATTGTTTTTGTATGTTTTTAAACATGGGGCTTTAACAAATATTATCCTACCTTACTACATTTATCTTTTCCAAAGCATTGGCATGCACTTTTAAGCATGGCCTGGAAGCCTTGCTGGATCTTCCTGTCCCCTCACCCTGAAGCCTTGGAATCCTTGTGACCATACCTTGTGGTACCTTGATATATGATTCAAAGAATGAATGGTGCTTTTTCTGTCTTTCTATGTTTCTTTTTTTTTTCCTTGGTTCTACACCTTCATTCCGTTCTCATGAATTCTCAACTTTGGCCAGGCAGGAAAGTTTCTTCTTGCAAACAAATGTTATCCCAGTCATTAACTACAGAACATGACATTACTGGAGGACTGCAGATGCATTGAGAGCTCTCAGGTCTTTTGATGAGCCTGCACTGATGCTTGGCATTAGGTATACCTATTTCTCAAATAAGGTCTTCTACTCCTAAAAGCCCAGTAAAGCACCTGTGGTTTTCCCCTGGAAGTGGGAGCAGAGATGACAAATGCCCATTACCTAATGTTGGGTTAGATGCTCCCAGCACAAAATAGATGCCCCAGCCATTGTTGTTCCCATGTTTAGCTTTTGGCAGAAGGTGTGGCTGTACTGAGTTACATCTTATCTCTTCTACAGCCTTGAGAACTTGAAACATCTTGCAGTACCAGCAGCTACTGAGAGCTGCGTTCCAAGGAGCACTGCTCTCATGGCTCTCAGAGTGCTGATAAGGGAAAGGAGTGAGCATGGTCCGGGTACCTGGGTAGTTGCCTATTTGCCAGTCTATGGGTTACTCATACCTGGAGACTTACTTAATTCCCTTTCTTTGGGAAGGCAACGTACAGCTAATCCATCACTATGTGTTTCAACTACCACTTTTGTGTTAATGCAATGTTTTTAGTGGGAATGTGCACTCTGACGGAGAGCAGTGTCGTTCAAATAGGTGTACTTTGTTTGCTTGTCCAGTTGAGGCTTGTATTTTGTCTATTTAAAAATCAGTCATGAAGATGCTATTGGTTCATCCAGCCACAAGAAACCAGTGTTCAGATGTGGCCACATTCTGTTGAAACTCAAGTGGTGTAAATCCTTTTACACTTTAGCTGATGCCCTGAGTTAAACTCAGGTGTGGAGGAAAACTGTACATCTAGCGGAGATTTACTGTGAGAAACTAGGAGGCAAGATGATGACTTTTGAAAACTTGGGTAAATTGATGCTGTGCTGAGATTTATTGATCCACCTCACAGTAGTATATGAACTTCTTTCTGATGAAGGGTTTATTGATGGTCTGTTCTAATCACCAGTGTTTGGTTTTCCCCATCTTTTGTATTAGCCCAGAGAGATAGCCTTCAGATTTATTTTAACAGTCCCTTATTAAAACCTTGAATTACTTACTTTTCTGTTATTGTGAGGCATGACAACTTTTAAAACTTTCATCTATGAAAAAAGTGAAGAAATATTTTTATTGTGTAAGTTAGATGCTTCTGTAAATGATCAAACCTGTTTTCTTTCCACAGCTATTTGGACATTGGAGAAACAAAGAAAAAACCTGCTGAAGTCAATAATGAGGTAGGATGAAATATTTAAGAAGTAAACCTGCAGTTAATGTTAGTACCATGCCTGCATTTATGCCTGATTTTTTAATATATGCTAATTTTATTTAATAATAATACAATTATCTACCATTCTGAACACATTT